CCCAAAACCCCAAAACCCCAAAACCCCAAAACCCCAAAACCCCAAAACCCCTCTAGTTACTTTTTGAATAGAATTTACGGAATAATCACTTATATTTCTTAAGAAAGATCAATGAGGACATCATCTTCGTTCTTAGAGTTCTTAGAATTCTGTGACTCTTGTGATCCCTCTTTCATATCATCTTCTGCTTCATCTTCGTTGTCAGAATTTGTTGCTTCACTAGAATGGACTTCCTCCTCTTTTTTGTGCTCTTCAGCCTGGCTGACCTTGGCGTTATGCTCTTGCACAATCTTGGACTTCTGAGTTTCAGAGTTTGGGGCGCTTGGCGAGGCTGCAGGGACCTCTCTGATGTTCTGCTGCACTGTGTAAGTATTTGTTCTCGCTCCTTGGTTTGAAGAGGGCTGAGAAGATCCCACCACTACTCCATTACCTGCAAAGGCTGAGGCTGGAGCATTAGGACTGGAGCCAGAGCTTTCCTCATCTCTTTGAGGGATTCCAGGAGCTGGAAAAGGAATCCCAATTCCACCTGAAGCGCCTCCATTTTCTGAAAATACTCCCTGACCTGAAACGAATGATGGATAGTGACTGAAATGTTTCATTATCTTGTTGTTAAATTTGTTAATTCATGTAGTAGAAGGCTCTAAGAAGTCCAAATAGCCATAAGAATAAAGTACTCCAGTTAGGTATCCTGATATAAGAGCCAAGGCTACCATAGGCATGAACAGTGAGATTAAGATCAAGAAAATATAAGGATAATATTTAGCTTTGATCATGATTGGGAAGCATCATAAATTTCTCTCAAGATCGGGATCTTTTAGTGAATCAACTGTCATATCAAAAAGTATCATTGTCCAAAGCCCATTCGATACGGACATAAATCCAAATCCCAGGAAAGCAATCGCGTCAAGCCCTGTCATTATCAGCATTGAAACGAGTGACATGGTGAAAAAGTAAAGGATGAATGGAGAAGTTCCTTTTGCATTCTCTACTTGGCATCCTCTTGGAAGGTAGGAGAGCAATCCAAAAAGAAGCATTAATAACCCAAGATTAGCAAAAGGAGCAGTAATAACCCTCCATATCTGAAACCTTAGGTACACAAATGTTGATGCATTCATTAAATACAAGTGAACTGGGTACAAGAAGCTTGCTATATAAACAATAAGGGAAGTCCAGAAGATAAACCTGTTAAACATTGGTACACCTCCCCATATCTTAGCAATCATTTCTCCACAGCCTCCTTCCTCTTGAGGTTGTCCGCCACCTCCTCTTGCACCGGGTCCTAGTCTACCAAATCCTGTGATGTTGCTCATATTGAAAATATTATATTGTATCTGTATTTTGATGATTTAAGGGGTTTTGGGGTTTTGGGGTTTTGGGGTTTTGGGGTTTTGGGGTTTTGGGGTTTTGGGG